CCACTTCCAGTGGATGAGTCATGTAGAAATGTGTCCTTCTCTAAAGAAAACAATTGCTTAATAAATAAATCAGTGCCAGAATGAATTTTCCTCAGAGGCAATAAGATTCTTCCCTACTGGAACAGATGAATTCATTCTGACACCAACACGTTTTAAATGAATAACACTTTTCTCATCCATCAGGATGAAAAATAGCACAGTGACTTTAAAAAGGGGGCTCTTTGTCAGATGTGTAATTTGTATTTTCAAAATAATGCAAATTCCCTTTTATATATGTTTTATATAAAAAAATAAAATAACAAAATACAACAAAAATAATACATTTTTTTTAAAAAATAATCATTCTGAAATGGGTCTAAATGGCCATTAAAATATTCTTGCCCTTTCCAATGGGCAAGGTCACTCTAACGCCCTTCACAGAGCACTTCAGCTTTGAAGGATCCAAGAATGACAGGCTAAAAGGGTAGAAGTATGCAGGTGTTGGTGGATAATGGGAGTAAGGTAGACCAGCTCACTATAACTTGAACTGGGGGCAAAGTAGAGAGCTGAGTTGGCTTTATAACCTGATTATGATGGGCTCTTTTCAGCAAAGAAAACTTTAGTTCAGCTATTGTCCTAGCAACGGTTAGGTTGTTGGATTGGAAAAACGGAGAAAGAGATTGGAAAGTGCTTAAAAAATCAGAAAATCAGAGAGAAAGGGAGTCCATATACAGAGATCTGATTGGCTCTCATCCTGATGACCTTCAGGAAACTACTGAAGATCTGGCTGTTCTCCCAGGCCTTGGGACACATTGATGGTTAAGCCTCTGTGAGACACGTTTTTGGTTGATATGTTTGTCTTCGGGTCACTTATGATGTTTTTAAAAATTGTATTCTTACTTATTTTTTAAATTGTAAGGTTCTCAGAGTCATCAAGAGTTGGGCAGCTGCTAAATTTATGAAAGAAAGAAAGAAAGAAAGAAAGAAAGAAAGAAAGAAAGAAAGAAAGAAAGAAAAAGAAAGAAAGAAAAAGTCTATTCATTAAATCTCATTTCAACACATATACTGCTGATTGCCTGGAGCTAACTTATTCTGAGGCAGATTTTGTTTTTCAAAGAACAGAAAAAGCAAAATATAAAAACATACTCCAACATGCAATAGCAGAGGTATTCTTTCACTTCACACATATATTTCAAATATCACTCTGATGTTCAGACACATTGTCTCCTGACTTTTGACAAGGAATAATCTGGAGAGCAAATAACACATTATCCCCCCTTCTTATTTCAGACCATATGTTTAACTATCTTACAGTTAAATAGAACCTATATACCAGGTAGGTATACCAAAGACACAAATCTTTAATTTCAAAATACTGACTATTTACTCACTGCTTATAAGATTCCTCTATTTCGTATGAGGTATGCAATTTTTAGTGCAATGAATGATCTTAGAACATATTGAGTTAGAGGCAATGTAATAATGAATTAACCAGAAATGTAGAGAGAACTTGTGGAAATGAAGCCTTGATAGACCTATAATGTACTTCAGACACATTTAAATTCTTTGTCATAAATTCTGTAGTGTTCAGTGGGCAAGATTTAAAGAATCAAATCTTTTGATTTTTTCCCCCTCTAATAATTATGACATTTTATACCACAGACGTGAATTACTAGAACTGAAATTCAAATGTTATATGCTATTTTTTGCAATTTAACATTGAGCTTAAACTGATGTGCTCGCTTCTCAAACCTTCCCCTCCCCATTTCCAAAATGGCTAAAGCTGTGCTCTCTTCACAAACCTTTCTGAAGGGGGCGCAGCCTTAGCCATATGTAGGAAATGTTTGCCAGAGAAGCTGGGTCCGAAAAGGAGAGAGCAAAGGCAGTGAGGCCCTGGGCGCAAAAGGCACAAGGTTGGTGTGGGGAACTGGGAGAGAAGGCAGCTGTGCGAATGAACGTTTGCTGGGGACTGAAGGAATGCTTTGCTGGCTTGTTTGCTGGGGTGGGCTGGAGACCCACATGGGGCTGGGGAGAGAAGGCAGCTGGATGAATGAATGCTTGCTGGTACTTGCTGAGGCTTCCTGGGCAGCTGGGGCTGGTTGCCACCCTGCAAGGCAGAGTGCAGGGTGGCCAAAAGGGCAGAGATGGGGGGGGGGGGAGATAGGGGAAGGGGGAGTTGAAGCCCCCCTGCTTGATCACGTGACTGCGGGGACACTTCAACGGTTGTAATTTCAGGCACAGGTCATAAGTTCATTTTTTCAGCACCGTTGTAATTTTGAACGGTTGCTAAACAAATGGTTGTTAAGTGAGGACTACCTGTAATTTGGTTGAGAATTCAAAGTTCAAGCAAATCTAATACATGGACTTTTTAAAAAAGCATACTACCATAAAGATAGACCAGATGTACTAGATACAGATAAAAAATATCCAGTTGCTTTGTTGCTTTCCAAACCAATTCGAGGTGATCACTATTCAGTGCTGTCTATCCTATTAATCTTATGTCATTAACAGGCACCTTCTGAATGTCCTGCCATGTATAAGTTGAATATCAACAGATCCACTCCTTATTACAGTTTGTGTGGGGGAAGCACCCTTTTTCAAATAGATCTTTTAGGACTTTGTTTTAGGGATTTTTTTCATTGTTTTCTCTGATCATACTTTATAATCTGTCAAGCAATATTAAGATTAGCTGGCATAAATTTACTAAGGAAAGAAGGAAATTCCTAAAAAATAATGTTTTTATCATATTGTGAGATTCAGCAAAGAATGCGCCAGTTGAACTCCTCAGAGCAAAAATATCCCAATTTAATGCAATTTAGACTGCTCTCTCATCTCCCATCAACATCCCATCATATCTGAGGCAGAGGGAAAGGCCTCTCATCACATCTCAGAGTATGGATAGATTAGAAATGGAAGAGAAGATCCAATATTTAAGTTATTCAGAGCTTTAAATATTAGTCCCAAAACTTTGAATTGTAGCTTGAAATAAACTGTTAACCACTGTTAGTAAGGAGCCTGAGTTCCACCCAGATAGAAACAAAAAGTTCACTTATTCCAAAAAGGTCATACATATTTTACAGATGTTCTATTATTATATTACATTTTAAGGATGTTTGCAATGATTTGTTGACAATACTGTCTTAAGCATAAAATAATGAGTAAGAGCTAATTTGGGGCTGAATCTGTGTCTGTCACTACAAAAGTTTTTTTCCCCTTCCTCTCTCTCCCTAATAAGAGCTATTTACTGCAAACAAACAAATCAATATAATGTTTATTTTGGCTGCTAAACCCAAATGTTTCAGAGACTGCTCCAAACCTGGATTCCTGGAAATGCTGTGCAAAAGATGCTTAGGTCCTTTGCTTCAACACAACACAGCACACACTCAGCTGGGAAATCTACCAATCAGGGGTCATAGTAAGCATGGTCTGGACATCAGCCCATCACCATAGCCAAAACAGAAAACAGGACTGAAAGAAGTTTCTTAAACCAGCTTTATTTCCAGCTGGTTTCTGTATAAGAGTCAAGCAGTTTAAGGCTATGGATCACATGACCTGGAGGGAGGAGGAAAGGGGACTTAGAACAGAAGAGCTGCTGCCTCTCCCATCGTCATCCATTGGGGAATTTTTTTTTTTTCTCTCTGCAGCCCCCAGCTGGATCCAGACCACAGTCACACTTAATCTTTATTTTGCTTGTGCTCCTATTCTGTTTAGTTTTCAGAGAGTTAATCTTCCAACAGGTACACAGACACAGATAGACAAAATATCTTCATTCCTTTTACATAATTGATTTCCAACATGCCGTTGGGTTGGAAAGACTAAAAAGAAATCCTCTGGGAGGGCAGAGAATTGTGCTCCAAATGACAGTGGTTGGATAGGAAAAGAAAAAACCTTGGCTGCAAAGAAAAATGCAAAAGGTGGAGGAGAAAAGAGAAATAATTAATGCTTTCTTAAACCCAAAGCAGGAGGCAACTGCATTGACTTCCAAGTTTTCCCACTTTCTATCTCCACATAGTGGGCTCTCTCTCTCTCTCTCTCTTTGTATGAAAATCAACTTTCTTAGCAACTCTGTTTAGAGTTTGTTGCAAGCCAGGCTATACCACATGAAGGAAATGAGGGTTGTGTTGCAGAGGGCAAAAGGTGAGCTTGCCTTGTTGATTCAAAACTGGAACACCAAGAGAACACATAATATGCCATTATGTCTATGGTTTCCAACTTGAACTCAGCATAAATTATTCCAGGAATGTTTGTACAGTCTCTTTTTATATCTCCCTGGCAAGGCCTATTTTGATTGCATGGCTTCATTACTTTTCTTTTTTTATCAACTTTACTTCTCCCGTGAAGATAATCTTTTTTTGTTGTTATTGCAATTTTTTTTTTTAGAAAAAGCAAAGATAAAATATACTGCACCACTTGTCAAAGCAACGAAGTAGGCTGCAGAGGAAATTCCTGTTTATTTAAGGAATGGGCTGTGACTTGAAAGAAAAAAAAGGGGGGGAAATGATGGCAATGAAAAAACATGTACTAACTTTCTACTAGCTTCATAATTTGTAAGGTATGGTTTGTATTAATACAGAAAAATTAAAATATATCCTTTCTTTGTTGGACAGAAGAATATTTTTGGTGAATTGGCTAATGAAGAATATGGATGTTTTTGTTGTTAAGATAAAAGTAGCAGTAAACTCTTATTGAAAGTTAAAGTATGGTGGTAGCAAACATAGCCATCATGGCTTACTCCAAGTTCCTTGACTGAAGTGATACCATTTTTTTCATGAATCTGTGATTCATAATATTGAATTCCATCTTTGAAAGTATCTCAATAAAAAAAATCACATTCTCTGCAAAAACCTCACAGAACAAACACAAAATCCTCAGAAAAGCTGTTTATTTTGTGTATTGCTTTGGCTTATATGCTGCTCTATTTTTGAGGACTAAGTAGTTTGCAAGTACCAGGACTAAAACTAAATTATAATATATCAATAATGTAACAAGAATCTGACATGATACCATTCAGAGCAGCTGAATCTTCAAATCCATTTCTAAATAGAGAAGAGGTGATCTGGATATCTGGGGGTAGGTTGTTCCAAATGATCCATCCTGCCAAAAAACTGAGGTAGTAGAATCCCACTTTAGATAACGAATTTGAAATTGTCCATCTGATCTGAACACCAGTCATAACACCATCTATGCAAGTAGCAACTACATCACTATTTCAAGTTTTGGTAGACAAAGAAAATTTGAGTTGCACTGGGACCTTTTAGTCCCACTTTCTCCATAGATTGTGATCTTGATTTGGATTCTCTGTTTCCAGCAGGTGGAAATTATCTGTATTACTTATTACCTACAGTATCTGTGTTACCTTCAATCCCAGATCACTAATGTCCTGACCGCGGTTAACATTTACTTTCTCCTTGAATTCATGCAAACCATGCATAAAAAAACATGCTGGAAAACCTGAAATATATCTCAGGGAAGGGCATGAAAATGGTTGGTGCAGGATCTCAGGTAGAATTGCCTGTAATTTCATAAAGAGCATTTTGCAAGGAAGGGAGGGAGAGAATGGCTGACTGGCTGGCACTTTTGCAGAAAAAATTCACATCTATGGCATTGTTTTCTCTATTATATTCTATTACTCTTCAGAATTATGTGCTAGAGCTACTTGAGGAAGAATAAGCCAACTCCAGATGGAACAAATCTGCAGGAGAGAGGGTGTAAAAAGGTCAGATGGTAGCTGCAACCACATAATTGAAGCCCCATCCCTTTTTATGTGCACAGTGGCTTTTTTAATCCCTACCCCCACAGATGGCCCTGAATGAAGCTGGTGGTCCTTGGAGTCCAGAGGGTATATTAGCAATTACCATAGTGACAACCCTCCCCATGATTAGATTTGGCACATTTTCCAAACTTTCCTTTGGATCTCATATTATCCTCAAACATCCAGGTGTTGGCTCAACTTACAGAAAGTTATCATTTTTAAAAAGTGTGTTATGATAATTGCCATTATTTATTTGGACTGGATACAAGCAGAGGGATGAGGGAAGATTCTGTGCTGTGGGTGGTGATGGATCTAATCTTATTTAAAATAAATATTACTCTATGCTTATTTAAAATAACTATTCATTTGTATTACAGATTCTCTTTTTCCTGTTGTTGCTCCAAGAATGCCTTTGGTAAGTGAAGTGTTTCTCCAAAACATACCACATGTCTTCATATTTTAACCTAGTCCAATGTTGAAGTTAGGGCTATACTTGGAACTTCACTGGATCTACCAATCTATTGTACCTTGTAGGATGGTTGTCAGATGGGTGAGGTGAAGGTACAGAAAAGAATGGTACATCCAGCTGAATTCTTTTCAACAATGGAAGTGAGAAAGAAATGTAATCTAAAGAAACTTCATGCACTGGTAGGCTGAAGAACTGAAGTAAATAAAAGTACTGTTCTAATACTTTTTATGAGAACAGTGATAAACCATTCAAGAATTAAAAAAAAAAAACCAGGGAGAGATGCTTGGCTGAACTGGAATATAGCTTGTTTGTTTTGCTCTGCTTTCAGTTTTTGCCTTGAACCAGCAGTGTCTGCAGGGAGGAGATCAAAAAAATCAAGACGGCCACCACAACGATGTGATCAACCTTCTCCTACACCATGTGATTGAAGTCCTTATTGCATGGTTGTGGTGGCCGCCTTGACTTTTTTTACCCCTCCTCCATATTGATGCCCCCAGGCAAAGCAAAACTTGATCTTTGTGACCCCCTGCAAACCCCCCTGCCTTCAACTCTGTCTCAGGATTCCCTTTCTTTCCCCTTGTTCCTCTAGCCAGCTGGAGAATTCTGGGAATTGAAGTCCACACATCTTAAAGTTGCCAAGTTTGAAAAACACTGCTCTAGTTCAAAAGTTCATGGTTCTTTGGGGACCATGCAAAAAAGAAGTCCACACATCTTAAAGTTGCCAAGTTTGAAAAACACTGCTCTAGTTCAAAAGTTCATGGTTCTTTGGGGACCATGCAAAAAAGAAGTCCACACATCTTAAAGTTGCCAAGTTTGAAAAACACTGCTCTAGTTCAAAAGTTCATGGTTCTTTGGGGACCATGCAAAAAAGGCTCTGAACAGCCTCTTATGTCAGTTTTCTTTTCAGAATAAGAACTCAGACCAAGATTGTCAAGTGAAGCAGAAAACTCAAATATCTGATGAAAGCAGGCTCTTGCAAGTGCCACAGACCATGCACTAGTTGCATTTGGATTTTGCAAATCATATGTCTTACTTGCAATTGCATACACCCTGCACTCTCCTTCCTCGGCCTCCCTGTGATCACATGCACCCCGTGCCCTCATTCCCCAGCCTTTCTGGGTTTGTACTACATTGAGCACCCCCTCCCCCAACTTGTGCATGGCCTGCACTGGGCCTCCCAGGGCCTCCCCCACCCCTTGCTGCATCCCCTGCACTCCTTACCTGGGACTCTCTCTGCTTCCCACTTAACAACCCACACATCTTGGGTTACAACACAGTGACAACCGGGACTACCTTGATTGCCATTGCTAAGCGATGCAGTCACATGACATCACACTTTACAACTGCATCACTTAGCAACAGCAATCCTGGTCCCAAATGCAGTTGTAAGCTGAGGACTACCTGTAGCCTCCAATCTAAGATTCGACGGGCTTCTACCCTTTTAGTTTTCTAGAAGGTCCTGAGGACCTGAATCTTCCCCCAAGCATTGAGGTAGGATGGGGGTTGAGTCAGGAGGTTAATAGTTTCATTGGGCTGACACCTGGTAGGAAGGGCTGTTTTGTTTTTATTCTGTTGTTGTTGTTGTGAGCTGCTTAGGATCACTGTCTGAGATAGATGGTCATATAAGTTCTTTAAATAAAATAAACAAAATAGTGTCATCACAGTGCTGCACAGGATTGTTCAGAAGAACCTCTCAGACAATTTTGTTCACAATACATATCTGCTATTATCGTACCCTCTGTTGAACTCTTTTCAAACTGCATGTCTGGCCTTCATAATCACAAATCACAGAAAATGTAGCTAGACATCCTATTGCTTTGGCCCAGGATGGGTGTTCTTACAGTGCTTGTGATTTGAAGTTCAAATACTGTGATGGCATATGATTTTTAAAAAGCAGCTAGGAAATCTGGTTTTTAGAAGTGTGATGAGAATAGAAGGAAGTTTGATTAACATATTATTCCACAGGGTCTCCTGTTCAACAATGCACCGTATTCTTCTTCAGTCAAATCAAAAGCATAACAATTCTTTGGCAAGTGAAATGGAAAATATTGATTACATGTTAGGGATTAAAAAAAGGTGACAACACAATGCAGTCCAAAGTATTGTAGTGAGTGTACATAATAGAATAAAAATATTAGATTATTTAAAATGCAGGCAGTGGTTAGAATAGTTAATACTTGCCAAATGCCTAATTCTAAAGACCTGGTTATATGGGTTTGTATTTCCATTCCTCATGAAATGGTTGTTTAGCACCATCATGGAGTTTTACACAACATATGCTAAAGACAGCTCCATTTAGCCAGTATAAAGGCAAAGAAACAAAGCCCACAAAAGTTGTAAAGGTAGCCATAAATATCTAGGTTTCTTTCCAACTGTACATGAGGAATAAGAGTTGAACCCAAAGACTTCACAAAGGAAGTTACATTTGAAACTAAATGCTTGAATGCCAGAACTAAGGGAAAGCAGGTCAAAATGAGAAGACGAGCTGAATCCTCCAATAAAGAAAGGAATGGATTCAGTTGCTTTTAGGGAGGCATGTGAGGGCTACTGTAGATTTGACAAAACAGAAACCAACCTCTTGAGAACAGACTGGACAGTTAAAATAATAGGGCACAGGTGGCAACTCGGGTCGTTGCCCCATTCGGAAGAGAGAAAGAAGCGCAAGAACTGAATCTTGCTTCTACAGTACATAAGAAGGACTTGCATCTTCCACCTGGCAGCTGCAAGCCTTCTTCCTTAACTTTACTAGCTCTTGAAATAAACATACTGTAATTAAAAAACCTGCCTTCTTGAATGACTGCCTGAGACTTCTAGTATTAATCAGGTGCAGCCTGAATTTCTTAGAAATTTGTAGGAGGTTTACACAAAATGGTTGAGGGATTTCCCAAGGTTGTCTCCCTCTCTGGGACTGGCTGTAATGGTGAAATTAGTTGAACGTTGTCATTCAACATAGACCTGAAGATTTCCCAGTATTGTAAACAAAACAAAACAAAACCCACAGTATGATATTGTTTTGGATTTCTTCACTGAGCAGGAAGAAGATCCCTTCCAACTTTGTGAATATATTATTCTAATACCATTCTGGAGTTATCATTCTGGAGTTCCATTCACATTTTGATAAATATTAGGAAAACTGTTCCATCAAGTTTAAGAGAAATGAGAAGCTTTGGTGTACCAGCATGGCAAAGGTTAAAAATAGCAAGGTGGGTGGGCTAGCTAGTATTTTGTGTCAAAAACACTAATCCCTCCATTCTGAAAAACTGAAAAGGTCTCAGCTTTAGCACCAACAGGAAATCTACATGACTTACTCCTCCATTTAACAAACCTTCTCAGTTTTGCTTTGATGAAAGGCATAAAGCTTTGCTGCATTAACAAGAAGGGAAATAAGAGACTTTCCAGCTAAACTACCTCACTGATGTTCTTAAGCATCAGGATTGAAGGAATATATAAGCATTCTCATTATCTTTTGTTTTTGATCTTTATAGATAAAGTCACCTAAAGCTACAATTTATTTTAACTGTAATTTATTGAATAAGCCACGGTGCCTGGATTCACACATCACCTTAACCCATAAACTATGGTTTAAAATGATAATGGTTTGATTCATTGATGTATGAATTCCATCCCTGTTCCCAGTTCAGGAACCATTTGTGAATCAAAGGGTACTAATGTGCACGTGACATTCCCTGTTCATTGCAATAGAAAATGCAGTTTGCATACATTGTACATCTTTGTTCTTTTGAACATCTTAATCAAACTCTAATCTTGCAGTCCTGTATTGACTTAACTGGGATTAAGCTCCATTGAATTCCTTAAGATTTATGTGTAGGTAAACAGGTCTGTGTTTGCATTATATTTAGAACCTTCTTCATGCGAATGAGAATAAGACATAGCATGGGAATGTCAAACTACATCCATCTACCATCCTTGAGGTTAAGCAGCACTGCTGATCCCATCCCATATGTCTCCATGAGAGGCACGCACATCTGCAAAAGACATCTATCAAGACATGGGATATTCCCCTGGCTGTAAACTCCGTTTTGCATAACATATTCTATAAAATACCATGTACATTCATGGCACACAGATAGGTGGCATTACCTAGTTTACCTTGCTGAACTCAGTAAACTAAGCAGGGTCAGATCTGGTTAATACATGAATGGGAAATCACCAGGAACCCCAAAGCTGGAGGCATGACTGCAAAATAAAAAAAAAAAAAATCCTAGAAGAAGACAATGGTAAACCACTTATGTCATGTTACCAAGCAAAGTCACAGTCATGTCCATGAAATCACCAGAATCAGTCTTGACTCAAGAGATTTCACCTTCACATTCCATGGCAGGAAGCCATCGGTCAATCAGTAATAACTAAACTGAACTCAACTAAATAATTCACTTGGGATTATTATGAGTATAATAAAATGTGGGTAATACATGAAAGGAAGGAAGGAAGGAAGGAAGGAAGGAAGGAAGGAAGGAAGGAAGGAAGGAA